GCACTGGCTCAAGTAATGGTTGTATATAGTTTCCGTGAACTTATTACTCCAAATCGCTACATGTTATTTACTCGTAAATATAAATTCAATATCGAATCACTGATGCTTGGACCATTGGCATGATGCGGATCTGTTCAGGTCGTCAGACGAACCAAAAAAAAAAAAAAAAAAAAAAAAAAAAAAAAAAAAAAAAAAAAAAAGCTACATCGAGCACTTGACATCAAATGTGTTTGATTACCTCCTTTTGTATTTTGACCAACCGTATCTCAATTCGAGCCCATGCTCAAGCAAATTTGCAGGTGAAAAAGCTTCATAACACCATAACAGTTCAAGACCAGCAACAAATTTGAAGCCAGAGATATACATACCCTGTTACGGGAGAGGCCATGCATTGCACTTTCTTAGCGCTTTGCAACGCTGTACTGCACAGAACCATCTACAATGTGAACCTCCAACTTTTTGGAAAGTGGAAAGGCCAAAGATAAATACAAAACACTTATTTCAGTGCTATCTTGTCCGGGAAACGAGTGCATAGAGTCCAGCACAACTTGTTCTGACGTCGTATGATTGATTTCTTTTGGGAAAATGACTAGTGAAGTTGCGGGTGCCATACAAACGGCTAAAGACGTAAACACCGAGGAACATTACAATGCGCTGATTGCATGGTATCCCACAATGCTCGTACAATGTTCGTACTTAAACAACGTGTACGACAAAGTCACCTTCTAGACTGATACGAACAATCATCGCGAAACCTGTGCTGTGAAACGAAGTGCTGAAATACAATCCCGGCGTTTCCGAAATAATCGTTCATCAGTTGAGCCTGTACAAGTCAGCATCAGAGTTTGTAATATATAATAGTTCATTCCCGTCATTTATTTGAACTGTGAATCTCTTGGCCTGTTGGCCTAATTCTCGTTAATTGGGCATACAAGTAGCACTTGGTCTACCTCGGGCAATTGTATATATCACAAAATCTCTATCAACTCTGATGGATGAAAATAAATGAAACAGCTGCCAAAGTTGCAGCACTTAATTAAACATCAGTGTCTACATTCTAAACATACAAACGATGATTTGCCAGAAGTTTTTGACCATGTATGGGATGAAAGCCTGGGCCAACTGAACATTAAGCTCATAGGCCGTTGCAAGATTTTATTCGCGCATTGTCTCTACCATACTATGGTATGTTAATGCAGGAACATGTCTATAGTTGTTGGATATCAAGAAGGATGATTGATATTTCAAGGTTCTTTGGCAATTCAAATTGTATGTATATGAGTATGCAAAATAAAAAATTCAGTACATACGACCATACCTAGTGGAAAACTTGGGATCCCGTCCGCTCTCCCCTAAATAAGCCACTAAGGGCCGGATTAGTAGTTAAGTGGGTGACCATTAGCGAATACCCGGTGTTGTATGTTTTGTCATTTTGTTTTAGGCTTTTCAAGTAGTCTTTCCCATCCCACTTTCAAATGCCTCCTTTCTCATTCCGACCAAGAAAGCAGCCATGTGGCACGGTGAAGAGAGTGGCCAAACTCTAGGTTCGAAACTCAACAGCGAACCACTGCTTAGAGACCGCGAATAATACACTCTCTCAACCTCATTTTCGTGCTTTCACTTTTGCTCTTCTTCTGTGACACTGTCCCCTTTAGACATCAGCCTCTGATAGTGTTATGGTTGAATGTCTTTCGGTGAAATCGTCTCAGTGACAGCATCTGATCAGTCGCATGCTTCGAGAATCAGGAGGTCGGAGCTTCAACCCAAACTCCCAGCACTGTGGTGTGGGCGACGGCAGATACACACAACATCCGCGGGACACACTACTCTAAGGAATTCGGGCATTTTGTCCTCCGTTCTGTCTTTCCAAAATCCCTACCAAACACTTGGCCAATAGACTGAAAGTGCCGAATCTCCCCTGAGTCGGTACCTGCAGCGGTGGGGTGCGCTAGTAAAGCACAAAGTGGCAGGAACATCGTTTGCTAGCGGACGAGCTTGGCTAGCGTGCGCCCCTGACAAGTATCTGGAAGCTGCTACGGCCTGGGACGGCGTGCTGCAGCGACGACATCCGAGAAGCTAGCTGGGTTCGCAAGGTTCAGCTTGTCAGCTTGAGGTGCTGACTTCGTGCTTACTTCGTTACACGCCCCGTGACTTGCGATACTAGGATCCTCGATATTATGGTGACTCACGTATATTCCATGTTATAACGATAAGTCACAGACCGTTATTACGGTCTTGGTGGAGAAACATGTACCACTCCTTGTTTGCACGAAAAACGACACGGGAATTGCGACTTGGGAGGGTGTTTGCGTTATGGTAGCCAAGCAGCTTTCGAATCACGACGAGACTAGATCAGCCATGAAAAGACGGCAGACAACGGGTTAGGCATTAGCAATGTTTTCATTATCGTGGGTATGGGTGAACTCTAAAGACTTGAAGCCCTAAAATATATGCGTTTGAAGAAAATGATGGGTGCTTCTCCACCCAAGGACAGCCATGCGTCCACTAAAGGCGAGACCACAACACCTAGTTGAAACCTTTCCTGTTCTGTATGTGGTGCATTTCCCATTTACAAGGCAATCACGGCGCCCAGGACACCGGCGATAACAGCACCGGCAATACCAACCTCACGCGCAGCGGCGCCAGCAGTAGCCGCGGCAGAGGTGGCAGACGACGAAGAGGTCTGGGTGGACGAGCCCGAGGCAGACGAGGTGCCGGTGCTGGTAGTGGTGGTGGTCTTCTTACTCGTCGAGGTTGTCGTGGCGCTCACACTGGCGACGGAAGCGGTGCCCGTGCTGCTGCCCGTGGCCAGGGCGTCGTTGGAGGTGCAGACGGACAGGGCGGTGGCATCGGCCTCAAATTCGGTGCACTCGGCAACGACTGCCTCGATTTCCGAAGACCACGACGAGTACCACTCGAGAACGCTAGTCGAGTAGGCACTGTACTCGGAGGAGAGCGAGGCGGGCACGCTGATGTTGCAGTCGTCGTCGTCGCCGCTTGAAGCGGCGGCGGTGGCCGTGGCGGAGGCCTCGGCCCAGCTCTCGAGAGCGGCCGGCGGGGTGGGAAGGTCCTCAACGAGGGATGCCAGCGTCTCAGAGGCGGACTCGCAGACAGGGTCGACGGATGCGGTACCAGATGCGGAGTCGGTCTGGCGGGCCCAGACGCCGCGCTCAGCGACGAGCTTGGGTATCGTCACGACCATGCGCTGCATGTTGGCAGAGACTGCCGCGGCGAAGGTGGCCATCAGGATGCTTGAGGAGTGCATTTTGAAAATTTTCGATACTTCGATGTTGTGGGCGGATGGTTCTGTATAGAATCGTTGAACTGGAGGGACAGTGGGATGCCGAGACGTGACAAGAGTGAGTGAGTGAACTTTCAAGCGCGCACCGATCGAAGAGCGAGTGACAAGATTTGAAGATGGACGAACAAGCCAAGTCAAGCCAAAAAGTATTGCAGATCACCTTGTACTTATTTATTTCGACTCTGCCTTTATGCTTAGTCTACAACTGGCGTGGTTGCCTTAGCGTCCTCTGAGAATAAATGAGTACCGTCAGAGCACTACTGCACTATCCGGGGAGGGCATGTCACAGCCTTCATCCTCCAAAAGCCCCGGTCTGTCTAGGCTGCAGATCCCAGATATGGTGGAAGGGTCAAGGAAGGATTAGTAGCTCTTGGCTATGCGCTAAAGAAAGTGATTACACAGCCGACCTGCGGCTGCGGAATCCTTCTCGCCATTTTCTTTTCTGGTTGTCAAAAAAGGGGCGCAAGCACGCCGCTCCGTTGGCACGAGTCTGTCCATTTTGGGCTCTGGGCGTGCCTGAACGCACAAATGACGCTCGTTCCACCACTGGATCCAGACGAAATCCTAGGCAGAGGGCATAAACGGGCGGCATAGGTCGGGTCATTCTGTTTTTTTCTTAGCTTCATTCAAAGCTAGCACTCATGCAAGACTTTCACGGGCCCATCAAGGGATCCAAAATGTGAGTTCCCGGAACCAAAGCAGTCTGTTTGTACATCATTGGCCTCGCAACAAGGATCTTCAGAGCAAGGGAGAGACAAAAGAACGCCGAAAAGTAGCGGACTCATTCCGTTCTGGCTTTCTTGTTGCAACTGGCTAATAACAGGCTCTTCGCAGGATTGGTGGATGCGCCTGTCCATCATAGCCCTAGTCATTCCTCTTCTCCCAGCTGAGCCTACTGAAAGACTCAGAGCGTTCGAGGACCCAGTCTCTCAGCTCTTGAAGGATTTCTGGTTGCATCGCAAGCGAATAAGCATCTGCCAAGACGGTAGGAATCGAACTGTGTATAGCCGCGTAGCCGCTGGACATGGGGGAGAGCACAGCTTGGAGCACTCGAGGTAAGATTACGGGCCATTAAACGAGCCAAGCTAGTGGTTAAGCTTCTTTTCTGTTCGTATTCATCTTTTTGTCGCTTGGCTGTGAACGCACTAGCACCAGACGCCAGGCTCCTGGTCTGGCCGTATGGCTGCCATCTCCTCTTCAAATTGCCTCGGCGCTAGGCAGCCATGCTGGATTCCGACTCCGCTCGACTGATCCGCAGGCGGCTGTTCTCGCGCCTCTTGTTTGCTCCACTGGGCATTGCCTCTGAGTGGCAATGTGAGCGACTCAGCTGAGATTTAGGGATTCGTGAGTGGATAGCGCGCTGGGTAGGAGGATCAAGAGCCAAAGCATACGTCAATTGTCGAAAGTGCCTGCACCGTATGTTTGATACAGACACTGTTAATAGTGCTTGAAACCATTCCAGAGCCTTCAGAGTCTAGTGCTTACATGGGATAAATGAGCTGTCGTCTCGAGTGGTCCGATCCCAGCGCATAGTGGCAGCGGCAGGACACAGGGAAAAGTACCCTGCCAGCCAGCCAAGCCAGCCAAAACGCCCTGCATGGGAGAAGAGAACGAACGAAGCTGTGATGTGAAGCTCATGCGAGGGAAAAAGAATTAGGTTATAAAACATGATAGAGGCTTTATTTCAACAATATTAGATGGTTTAGTGGTGTAGTGGTTATCACGTCAGTCTCACATCTACATTCTGTAATGTGCACTGAAGGTCCCCAGTTCGATCCTGGGCTGAATCACAATTTTTGCATTTTTGGGCGGCCCGCCCGTGTAGCCAGCCAGCCAGCCAGCCAGCCAGCCAACCAGCCAATCAGTCAGCTTTTATGTTCCTCGGTTTCAACCTATTGTTTTTATACTTCTTTTCCTCCTCTTCTTTTTTCTGTTCAGTATTTACGCTGCTCCGAATGTCTTCCGGCACTGTAGCAATGAAGCCTTGTAAAAATATCGGTTGAATAGAAGTACGGCGCATCGCGTATACAAAATGCGAAGAGCTTGTCGTTTGGGTAATCAACACTTTTGTAAGAGAGAGGCAAAATAGTCCTCGACCATCCAGTATCTTAACTCCTGTCTCGTTTATTAGCTGAAATTTCATTTGTTTTTTCCCTCCCCTCTCTCAAAAAAACAAACTAAAGAATACCCCGGGCTCGAAATGAAAACCTTCTAGATCATAGAAAGTGCTGGGTTTCAAAGCTGAATTCTAAATAATCCGCCAGTGCTGCGACAAGCCGCCAAAAGCAACAGAGACATTCCAAGCCATCAGATACACCATGTCACATATCACATCGTCTATGTACATGTATTAATACCCTTACGTATCAACTCGAAAGTGGCACCGTGACCGTGTGCAAGGCGCAAGGCAATATAATGGCTGTGTCTTGCTACTTTGCCCATATCGAGGCTGACCAGACTGGAAATCGTATAATCGCCAATAAGCAACAAGAAGGTTGAATCATACACAATACGTCTTGCAAACTCGTCACGGAATTATCCCGTGGCCGTTGCAGAAATCACACGACCAAGTAGCTGGTTATAAGGGAGAGCTGGCAACATGGAAAGAAACGGATACACAAGATGCGGAGATGTCATTGATCTTCTCAAAAGTTATTAAAACCAACCGTTGTGCATGGGCATGAGCCTAAACAGGCACAACCAAAAAAAAAAAGATAAATGCTAATTAGCCTCAAATTTATTGGACGTAACCTGCACTGCATTGCACTGCCGACCGGCCGTCGACGCGCACCCAGGCCTCATTTTCGAAGCCATCATAACCACTCTAAACGCCTGCTCCTTGCCTGATGGCCCAATTCGTTTTTAACAATCACGAAATTCCATAGTAATTAGGGCTGCATTCGCAGTCGTGGCTGAGAGGAAAAGCACCTGGTTTCCTGAGTTTGGTCACTCATAGTTACTTCATTCACATTCCTAGTTTCTTCACCTTCTGCTTGGAAGTGCATGGTCGAGACAGGCGAGAACCTGGATGCAAAGTTAGCTACTTCAAAACTTGTTTGATTCCGCGGCCGAAGCGCTTGATTCTTGACTTACGTCAGCTCCGACAGCGCCTTGGTTGCCCAAATAACGCGCCATTCCCCTAACCAGTTCAATCTGCTCGTCAACGGTCAAACCGGTGATGGCCGTCTCAATGACGCCTCCAAGGGAGACCTTGTGTGTGGCGATGAAGGAATGGTAATAAAGGAAGGTGAAGAATCCCATGATGAATTGACAGTCCATCCGGTCCGTCATGCCACCGTGTCCGGGAATGGAATGACCAAAGTCCTTGATCTTGAAAGTGCGCTTGAGACCAGAGGCGAAGAATCCGCCAAAGGGTGCGATGAGTGATGCAAATGTCGCGAACAATATGGTGTGGATCTGCATTGGCGCCAAGGTAAAGCTGAAGTGCGTATTGGCAGGAAGGAAGACAAAGTTGGGGAGCTCATAAGTGTGAGGGAGGAATACTGGGTTGGGATCACACTGAAGGCCGGTGAAGACATTTGCGCCAAAGTCCTGCAATTTTATTAGTTCCTGCAATACCGAGGGACGGACCAAAAGTCGACTTACGGTGACTGGACAGATGAAGTATCCGCTGCGCATCATGAGGCTCGTCAAGCCATAACCGAAGATGATGGTCATGACCCAAGCTCCGACGAAGCCCTCGACTGTCTTTTTGGGAGAAAGCTTAATGAGCTGCGTCCGGCCGAATGTGATACCGCAGATGTACGCAAAGATGTCATTTGTGATGACCAAAGCAGCAGGGAGGAAAAACCAAATCAAGCCTTCGAAGATGTTGTTCATGATGAAGTGTGCTTGTACCACGATGATCAGGAGCGCCATATGCGTCCAGGCAAACTGCGTAAATTGGAACTTAAGATGGCCGGCCTTGAGGGACGCGACAAAGAACACGAAACCTGTAGAAACATCAGTCGCGATTCGAGAAAGTAGTTGCAGAGATTGCAACAGCCAAGAGCTTCATGCAAAGACAGTCACTGGAAGTCAGCAACTCACCAATGATGTACAGCATGAAGCTGATGAAGCGGTGGTGGGTTGCCAGCGGCAACAGCATCTTGTCTACCAAAACGACATGCTTGAAGTAGTATATCACGCTTTCTCCATAAAGAAAGTACATAGTCGTAGCTAGCCAGTACCAGTTGAGGCTCTTAGTGGAGCGTAGCTGGCGAGCCCGTGTAGGCACGCTTGCAATGGCAATGACTTCCTTGAAGGAGATGACCTGGACGATGGTGATGATGAGGATGATGTAGATGTGGCCCATGAAGAGTGCGGCAAAAAAGCCCCCGATCATGATCAGAGTCCATATTCCTCGAGTGATGAAATTGGCCTTCTTCTTCTCGTACTCGGCACGTTGGGTTTCGGCTGATTCTTTCTGGACCACAGTATTCTCGTCAGTACGCATTCTCGAAGCATTATTTTCCCCCGAGGGCCAATGTCTCACCTCAGCGATGTCTTTCATCTGGGGCGAGGCCCGCGTTCTTGTGGGGGAGCCATCTTCGCTGGCTTCAGAGATGCTTGCGCGGCGGCCGTCGGTGCTGCCGTTGCCCTTGCGGTGAGCAAACTTGACACCTCTGCGTCCGTTGCCCATTTTGTAGTACTGTGAGGAGCTATGCGACTGGGAGATGGAAAGCTGCCGTTGCACTCGAGCGCGGGAAGCTCGGGGCCGAGCTTGACTTTGAGACGAGTGCGGAGCTGTCGGAAGAGGAGGAAAGGTTGCGCGGTATTCTCAGAAGAACATTGCTTGATGCAGACGCTGGAGTGAGCTCTGACAGATCAGGTCAAGTACTTTGTGGTCGGAACTGTGCGATCAAAGGCGCGCGCTGCAGTTTGCTGGCTGGCTGGTGGGCGGATGACGGTTGACGGTAATCAGGACAATTGCAGTTGGGTGCCAGAGTGCAAAGCATGCTCCTAATTGTGGAGTCGTGCAAATTGGGGCTTTTCAGCTACGTCACAACCCTGTGGCTTGGCACTGATTCAAACCAGGCCCAGGACTCAAGGGCAAGTGTTTTTTTCTTCTTTTTTTTTTCTTCTTCCGGCTATTCCCTTTCTTTGGTAGCATCTTGCTCGAAAAGAGACACATGCTTCATCAGGATGAGCCCGCAGTTGACGATCCAAAGCTAGGATTGGCTTTATTGTGACTTTCGCAGGTGGCTGTTACTGGCTGTTTCGAAGCCTAGCATGCACACCAAGACCGCTAAAACTAAAAGATTTACAGAGGGTGTGATAGGGGCCGAGCACTAAAGACTACAACGATGCCCCCTTAGACGCTGCATCTTTTGTTTTGTGCCTGGACTGCGGGTGCAACCTCCCAAAAGCGTCACAGCAAAAGACTTCAAATATTGATTGAAGCCTGCCTGAATCGCTTGGCTTGTAGATGCCTTCCAATCCTGGGTATTCATCTCATCTGGCTGTTCATGCGCTCTAGCCTGTAGTCTTTGTCCCATGTTTTTGAATGACGTGAACATGGGAGATGGGGTTCTGATGGGCCAAGAGGCTCCAGCTTCTTGGCTGGTTTGCATGTGAATGTGGTACCTTATCGATAAGATGGAACTGTGGCTCAACCTTCCATACCCCGTCAGTTTTGGTCGCGAACCTGACGATCTAAGATGGCTCCCTTGAAACAATTCAACCTTATTGTGTTCTGCTTGCATACCAATGCCTCCACCTCCGCAACAGACACAACACTAGACCTCGCTCCAGACTGTTGTTTCTGCTTTCAAATCTTTTTCACCTCCAAGTTCTTGCGATAGACCTACACACTGAGCTTGCTATCCGCCGCGCCGCATACACATCACATCAGAGCTCAACCAACCTTGGGCCGCTTTTGGCCCCGAATTAGCGGCCAAGGCGAGTTCAGCCCGTGTATCAATCTGCAGTAGTCCATTCAGGCTGCTGGCTCAGAGCGTCATGGCTCCTACCGGTCCCAGATTATCACATCCCCAGCGCAGACCAACACCTCCGCTACCGATTGACGAAAGCCCAAAGGGACCGAGCCCGGGCAATATTGCCTTATCGAACCAGTTCCGATTCGAGCAGGGCATACGACGACTGCAAAAGGAGTATGGCTGTGACCCAGCAAGAGAAGACTCGTACCGAATCCAAGGTGTTCAGCTGATTGACTCTGTTCGGCAAGCTCTGCGTTTGTAAGTATTCGCCAATGCCTCCCGCCACAAAGCAAATCGTGACTGATCATCTTGCTCAGACCTGTCAAGACGTTTACGACCGCGTGCACATACTACCACCTGTTTCGACTCTGTCATCGCGATGCCGAGTACAACTATCAAGATGCCTCTCTTGCGTCACTTTTCATGGCCTGCAAGGTTGAGGACACCATAAAGAAGTCAAAGGAGATATTATGTGCAGCCTACAATATCAAGAATCCAGAGCATCCCACAACCCAAGATGACAAGGTACGACGGCCCAGTAAGGTTCTTGGCACAGACAATATGCAGACTTATTGACACATCACGAGCAGGTCTTTGACAGTCCGCACAAGATCATCATCGGTCTGGAGCGGCATATCCTCGAGACAATTGGCTTCGACTTTCGTGCTCGGTACCCGCAAAAGGTTCTGATCAAGATGGTGCGATATCTCTACCATCCAGACGTTGCTCAAGAGATGTTACCCATGTGCTATGCAATTTCCATCGACATGTACAAAACCTTTGCGCCAATCAAGGCATCCACCTTCACCATGGCTCTAGCCATCATCGAAGTGGCCGCTTTGCTCAGCGAT